CAATCTCTAAATTGTTTCATGTTTCTAATTTATTATTGATTTAATATAATAAAACCTTTGTTCTGTAAAAAATAATATAATATTAAAAAATAATATAATATTCCAAAAATATAACTATATATTAATTAAAATTTTTAATTCTTGCAATTCTAATCTTGGAATTAAAATTGCTATATAAATAAACTTCTTCGATAGTTACAATATTTTTAGTGTCATCAATATACATTTCTGTATTTCTGTATTTCCTATCTACAAAAGTAGCAAATATATTCAACACAATCTTTACTTTTATTATTATACTTACTCGCATGTTTTCACCTTCTTTATACAATACATCATGATTTATCTCGGATGGATTCTTCGGGTCATATGTGAAGTTAGATTCCTGTGAAAATAATAATTTTGTAATGTAATCGTTAAACACAGACGCGCATATGTGAGATTTATCAACAAAAAAATATAGCCATCACCTGCAGATTCCACCAATGTGTGCCAATAAAATTCGAATAATGACCCAATTGAATGGTCAAAATTTCCCGTGTTGTCATACTTATCAAGTTTATATTTTATTCTTTATAAAACAATGTATTAAAGTTTTTTTTCTCTCAAAGTATAAAAAATTTATTTACCTATTTTATACTAATTGATAGAAAATAAGATATCATAAATCTGATTTCGACGTAGATGACTTTCTGCTTGCTCTCTACCGCTTGATAGAGGTTAAGATGTTTTTAATCTGATCGTATGATTATATTCGTATGCCTAGCATATAAATGTTTACATATATCAAACGTTGGTTTTGTTTTTACACCCTTTAGATAAAGAGAATAATTGTATCTTCACTTTCCGTAATTAATTGTTAGATCAGTTAGGTTATTTCCGAACATAGTATGTACATATACATATTATTGACAACCTCGTTTCCATGAGAGCGCTTTATTTGTTTTGTCCTATGTCCCATTGAACGAAATTTATGGATGCACAATCAGCACAATCAATCGACGCATTCAGCAGACTCAAAAGTTAAGTAAGTGCTTGCTGTTATTGGTATATCATCCAATCAGAATTTTAGATTTGGAAGAATACATCAATAGCGGCGAGCGCTCACTCAACTTTTGAGTCTGCTGAACGCAACCAATAGGTGCATCTAAAAACACGATTGCTCACTGAGCGTTCAATCGGCTCAGTGAGGTCTTGTATGTGTTTAGTCTATATTTTTAGATCTAATAGAATATGCCAATCAGATGCAAGAGCTCACTGAGCGCTCAATGAGCAGTCGTGCTTCTGGATGTACCCGATGTAATCTTCTTTCAATCCAGTTGAATCTAAAAATAATATCAGCCATTTCTGTATATCGTGAATACTGCTCAATTCAAAATTCTGAATAGGAAATGCAAATTTTTAATCCAATTGAATAAAAAAAGTTTTCCTTTTAAAATGGGCTGTGAATGCTATTCAATTTAAAATTGTGAGTAGAAAATCCATTGTTTCATTTAAAAATGCATCATAAATGCTACTTTATTCAGAACATTTTATTCAGAATTATACATAAGAAATTTTTTATTTTAAATTTAACTGAGTTAAAAAAAAATTGTATCGTAAAAATATATCATGAATTCTATTTTATTTAATAGTTAAAAGAAACATAAAAAGAAACGTAAATATGTACAATAAATGTTACATATATAAATTCCTTATTTTTAATTAATAAATTAGTCGCTTTTATGTATATTTTATGTTAATATATTTCCTTTATTATATAGCTTTTTTATCTTCACATATTCATTCAGCCTTTAAATACACTGACAAGCAAATGAGAATGGATTACAATTGATTAAAATTTTTTTCTATCTGAATATATTTTAATTAATGAATACTTTTTTTGGATTTAATTGAATTCAATTAGATTCAATTGGATGCAATTGGATTGAAAAACTTTCCTATTTAAAATTTTGAATTGAACATCATTCACAATGTGTGTGTGTTGTGCACAGAAAAAACTAATATTATTTTTAGATTGAAAGGCAGAGATATGTTTCATGCAATTCCTATAAAAGAATAAAAATGCATTCAGGATTGAAAAGCATTCACTTTAACTTTCGTGAATCAATATTTCTAAAAATCTGAATCCATTTCAATTCATTTCAATCCATTCTCGTTTGCTGGATACTTTTAAATCTAATTAGCCTTTTACAATAAGCCATTAGTCATAAATCAGAAGTAAGAAGTTAAAAATTGACGACTGTGATCAATTTTTAGCTTTTGACTTCTAATTTATAACTAATGGTCTATTGTATATAAAAGGCTCATAATCCCTAATAATAATCTCGATGAATATCCAATATTTTTCCGTTATTCCTATTTTATCTATTTTCAATATATTTTTGTTTATCTCTTCCTTATCTCTTTTTATCCTAGATCTTTTCTTAATCTTCTCTTTATTTTTATCAACTTTTAATTTATACCTATACTTTGCGGTTAAACTTCTATTGCTTCCGCGCAATTTCAATTTTTTAAATAATTCTTTCTTCATTGCCCTTATCTCAATACTGCATTGATTAATGATATGTTTCAATAATGCTTCGAACCTATTTTTTATTGATCATTAGTAAAATTCTTTCTTCTGATTGGTCAATCAAATGTTTCAAAGCATTTGAGACTTTGATCTCACTATAAAATATATCTGGGAATTCCCTATTACGTTAACTAATGCGTAGTATTGTTCTATAAATACAGACATTTAGTTTTTACAAAGTATTAGTAGAAGGTGCAGAACAAGATTTTGTGTTATTGTGGAAATAAAAAAAAACAAATTATAATGTCATTTAAAATTGATTTCGAATTCACGATTGATTTGATCGGACACTTTAGTATCGATGGTAATTCAGAATATCGTGACGATTTATCACAATTGAAATATTATATTTCTCCTTCAAATCCTAATAATGTCAATTTCGATCTTAATAAAAATTATGAATCTATCCAACACAAATCTACTTTACACATTAAATTGGATTATATATTAAAATGGATCTCCCATAATTTTCATCAACTCGAAAAACCATTATCAGTACAGGAAGAACGTTGGTATGTTGATAAATCATTGTTGTCATTGTTTAAGTATAAAAACTTGCATATACAAGGTATTTGGAATTTAAATGTCAAAACTTCGAGAACGTTTAGGAGATCGATAAACTAATTGTAAGAAAAATAGTCCTGTAGAGATATGGTTATCGTTTTTGCTTTGTTTCGGAGAAAATTGGAAAAAAGACAAAACATAGTTGCTTCGTTCTCACACTGCCTCTGAAGTATCGTCGTTAAAATCATGCACGAAAATAACAATAATAATTCCGTTTTCAGATGAAAACTTTTTTGATTTGTTTACATTTCTGCCTTTCTCCTGTAAATTCGACAGAAGTCATTTAGTGAATTACTCCTATCACAATATGTCGCATACATATTTTAATGTTGAATATGCGCTGAGATGATTTTCGTATATGGCTTCTGCGACAAGAGATCAACATTTTGAACAATATCTACATTAAACAAGTAAATAAATACAATGTGAATAAGTAATGAGAAAGTACAAAAATGAAAACTACGTTTTGCCTTTTTCGCAAAATTTTCTTCAAAACGAAGCAAAAACGAGCATATCTCTACAGTACTTTTTTTCTTAATTTATTTATTCCTTATTTACACGCTTTTTTGACATTAAATTCCAAACTTCCTGTATATATCCCAAACTGCACACAATATTTATAAAATATTTACAAATATTTATAAGGCTTATTTTAAATATTTTTTAAATATTTTTTTTGTAGTCTTAGCCTACATAGATCATAAACATTTGTTATAAATATTATGAAATATTTATTGTAAATCTTGTAGTAAATGCTATGGAAATACTTAATAAGATATTATATTTCTGTTAAAATACTTAACAGAAGTATTTATTTATATTTATATCATAAATATTACATTAAATCTATTTAATCTCTCTTTTAATAATATTTCGAATAAAGTTTTATATAAAATATATATAAAATTTTTATATAACATTTTAAAAAATGAATAATAATAAATGAAATTATAGAATAAAAATTAATATTATAAATATTCTGTGTTGTCCCTGATATATATAATATAATTTAAATTAATATACAATCTTGTATTAATTGCTCAAGTAACAAAATGACTTAAAAGATTACGTAATAACGTCTAAAGCTCAATGTTTCGGACAGAGAAAAAAATTAACAAATCGTATTTGAACACATGATTTAGTCACCAATGCGATTAAACAATTCTTTCTTCAACCGAGATCTCGGACCGATTTCTAGCATCATGGACATCAGACCAAGATAGACATGATTACGGCTATATTCCAAAATTCACTATCAGTGTTGAAAGTCTATAGTAACGTAACATGTAACATAAACTATAACTTTTTCAGGACTAGCAGTAAATTTGGTTGGAACACAGTCTACACAAGGACTGGCAAAATTTTACCCAACCAGTTAAACTCCTCACCAGTTAATCACAATAAAAAATCCATATTAAAATATACAATCGGATTCCAGTATTTTTAGTTTACTCTATTCACTATTATTGAAACCTAAAAAAAACATAAATAAAAATAATATGTTTGTAAATCACAAAAAAACGAAAGTTGTTTGTTTATATTTATTATGTATACTTAATATTTTTCAATATAAAGATGTGACAATTTTTTATGTTATATATTAATATATTTATATATATTATTTAT